CATGGAACTTTCTTGAGATGTCCTCAGGTGCCCTAAGTGGACAGGAAGCTGAGGTTCACAGCGTGAGATCCAGCCTGTATATTTGGGGGGACTCCCATAGGTCCCTACTGTCCGTGACAGCTACACACCATGTGCTAATGTTGTGTTTCTGCCTCCATTTCACTTGGAAGTCAGAAAGGCCTTGACCATTTGCAATACTAGAATGTTCCACCAGGACGTTTTGTGGTCCTGTTTTCTGATCCACCAAGTGCATTGTGAATGAGCTGCGTGGAGAACAGTGCCAATGGCACTGCCACATCAATGTCCCCACCTCTAGGCTCGGGGAGGGCAGGTGGCCACGAGATGTGTGGTCTTGGCCAGCATACAGCTGACATTAATAGCCCCAAAGACAGGGCTTTCCACAGGGTGACGTCTCAGTCACTTCTTTGTTCTATAGCCGGTACAGCCTTCAAGACAGCACCAAATACCCGACAGCCAAGTAGCCAAGTGACATGTGCAGCCCTGAGTTACTGTGAGTGTCGTCTCGAAGCAGGCCTCAATCGCCCACTCCACCCGCGTGTCACTGAAGCTTTTGATGAGCTTGGACTTCCCCTCCCCCCCTTGCTCCGGCTGCGGTGTGGAGAAGGGTGCACGGAGGCCCAGAGCCATGCTGGGCACGGGTTCAGGGACCATGCAGTCGGCCAAAGGCACTCTGTTCTCAAAAGCTCATCAATCACGTCCTGTCCTCGCGGCGTGGCCACAGAAAGTCCCCGGGGTCGACGCTGAACATCCTTGGAGCCCGCTCCTTAGCCTCCGCACAGAACTGGGCAGCGTTTGCAGCCAGCAGAGTTGCATAAGGAATTTCTCAAGCTGCCAAAAATAAAATTAGAATGAGTGATTTTTAGCTGGTGACTTGGAGTACATATGTCCCCATTTGGAGTCTGATGTGAGTGTGTAGTGAATTTTTTCCCCCTCTTCAGCTGTCCTCAAATATGAAGGGGATGCAAAAAAAATAAGTTTGTGGGGAAAATGGAATTTAAAGATCTTTATTTTGGGTGCAGAAACAGTTTGAAAGCTACACGTAGTTTTTTTTTTTTCCACAGTACGCTTTTGCTGTGAACTTTTTAAAGACCCTTTAATACATGGATTCAGAAGTATTTGCACCAAAAGAAGCTCACCTTGTAATTCCATGTGGCAAGAACACTCTGGGGGGTGTGTGTGTGTATACAGATACACTCACCCATCTCTATCAAAAAGACCATTTCCATGAGTCTGTGAGGCGATGCAAAGCCATTCAGAGAAATGAGGTAGAAGATGCCATGAGTGGGGAGGTGAACAGACGGCTTAGCTCCCCGGTGTGCTGGAACTGTGCTGGAATATGGGAATCCACATGCTTCTGTTTCCCATGCATCCCAAACCTGGAGTTCTTGGGTCTTGCATTCAGTGGGCTGGTGGGATACGGCAGGGAAGCCTGGTTAAGATGCTTGAGCCCCAGGGCACCTGGGCTCAACCCCTGGATGCCTCCACCGAGCTGCCTCAGCTTCCCCTCCAGCACTGCGCTTTCAGATTCCTCACTTCCATCAGTTTTCTCATCCCTTGGTCTCTCCAACCTTACTGTTTGTCTGAGCCTTGGTTAAGCCTTCTCCCAAGTGTTACCTGTGTCCCCTCTCCCATGTGTTATCCCCATGCCCACATACCTGGCCAAGGAGACCGAGTCCTTTACAGAATAGTCTCGTGGTGTGGGCTTTGGGAAGAGCTGGGCATGCTGACTCCTGGGGCTATGTGGCCCCGGGCAGATTCCCTTTCCCCTCTGAGCATCACTGTCCAGCATTGGTGATGGTGAACTGTGTACATTGATCCCTCAGGCCGGCAGTTTCATGGTGGAAAGCAAATCCTATGCCCAACCAGGGCGGGCACCCAGGACATGGCAACTGCCCTTGGCTCCTGTCTCAGGACACACGCGGGCCCCATCTGCCACCTTCTCTCTCCCTCCTGTTCTCTGCTTGCTGGCTTCTCGGAACTCATCCCACACTCACTGCAGGCCTTCACCATTGGTCTGTTCCACGCTCACTCCCTGCCACGTGCTCAGGCTCCTAGTAGAACCTCCAAGTTCAAAGATACTCCCCAGCTGCTAAGCCAGCGGCTGCTGTCCTCAGCCTGTGGCTGCATTTTCCGGCTTGAAGCTCCCTCCTCTTGTCTTAAATTCTGCTGGCTCTCCTACTTCTCTTGCTGCCCATCCATTCACCCCCACAACCTCCCTGCTGCTCAACTCCCAGGAAAGCCATGGTTGGGGGTGCCTCTCTTAGCCCTCAGCTCCCAGGATGACGACAACGGAGCCATTTGACACGGGGCTGAAGTGTGACGTACAAGCCAGACCACAAAGACATCATCCTGAAAAAGAACATAAAATGACCCTTTGGTAGTTTTTGTACTGATTACATGTGAAAGGACATTTTGGCCGTATTGAGCTAAATGAAATGAAAATTAATTTCATGTGTTTTCCCTATGGGTTTTCATACAGCTGTCAGGAAGTGTGAAGTTGTTGGCCTGGCTGGCCCGGCCTCATTGGGCAGGGCCTGTCTGGGAACATGGGCCCCACCCCTGCCGGCTCTTCTGTGGGAGTTGGGGAACCCTGTAGCCCCTTTTCTGGCTCCAGGCACTCTCTAGGAGACATCCAGCTACTACTTGTACTTTTACTGACTTGCTCACGCATCCAGCCTGTGTCTTCTGAGCGTCCCCTTGGATCACAACCCTGTTGTAGCCAAAAAGAGTTGGAGACAGAGGCTCTCCAAGTGCAGCCCAAGGTCAGGCTGGCTCTCTTGGCAGCATGACAGGGCAGTGGTCATGGTCTCTACTGATTGGGGCACCGTATACCCCATCACTAGTACCCAGGTGCCACCTGATGTGGCGTGGGGGCTCAGCCTCTCTGCTCCCCGGCTGGGGAGGGCCTGGAAGGAGGCCCCACACATTCCCTGAAGTCAGATGTGTCATTGGGGTTATTTTAGTCCTCACAACATATACTGTTAAAAATAAGAAGCCTGCATGTCTGTAGCCTCTCCTGGCTTGCGTGTCAGTGTTGGGGAACCGGGCCTGGCTATGTGCCCAGCTCCCGAGCTAGGGACAGTTGCGGCTGTGGCTTCCCCACCCATCTTTACTGGTAATTACTTGGGCACCTGTAGTTAGTGAGAGCCCAACCTGGGTAATACAGCAAGGCCTCATGAACCAGGCATTTTCCAACAAAGTCAGCCTTTCTGGAAAACGAACAGCAAATTAACATCTATCATCTTGGGCTGCAGTTTGTAACCAAAACAGCTGAGGGCCAGGGAGATAAGCAGAGCAGGCTGAGCCCTTAGCAGGCAGGGGGCTCTGTTTCCCCTCTGCTTTTCATTGAAGGCCAGGCTTCTGCCACACTCCCACCCACCAGGCACACTGTCCCTTATTGGCCCCTCCTATGCACTTATCTTCAGTGATCAGGATTCTAGCAAAAAGGTGTGACTTATGATGATTCCAGAGTGGACTCTGGGGAAGGTATTGCAGTACAGAAGTCAAGCTTCTCCTTGGGGCAGGTGCATTCTACATCAGAGTGCTTGGGTTCGAGTCCCACCTCTGCTGATGCAGCATCCTGCTTATGTGCACGCTGAGGGGCAGCCCCTGATGGCTCCTGTCATCCATATGGGAGACCCAGCCAGAGTTCCAGGCTCCTGGCTTCAGCTCCACCTAGCCTGGCCCTGGCTATTAGGGCCATTTGGGGAGTGAACCAGTAAATGGATGATCTCTCCAGGTGTTTGGGTCATTCTACCTTAATAATCCTGGAGAGGAAAAAGGGCCCTGATGCCTTAGCGCTTCACCCCCAAATCATGCAAAGCCTTGGGTAGTACAGAATGCCCGGACCCTTTCTCTGGCACTGCAGGGGCCTGGCCAGCTTGCTGGGGCTCAGCATGGAGAGGACTGTGGTTGAGGTGTCTGACTGTAGGCTGGGGCACTTGGCCCAGGACTGCCCTTGCTGCTCAAGAGAACCCTTGCATTGATTGTCCATAGTGCTTTGTGTTTGGAATCCCTTGAAACTTGCTCCCCGGCCTGTGTTCTTGCAGGCTGAGACCCTAGATTGGGGGAGAGAAGCCAAGGTCCTCCGTTGCCCAGGAATAGCTAACAGACCAAGCGCAGGTGCACCAGGAGCTGGCTCTCTGGCTCCTCCCAGTTCTGCCTTGTCCCCAGCTCGCCTGCTGCCCCTATCTGGGAAGAGACTCCCTATCCCCGCCTTTGAACGCAGTCTTCTCTCATGATCCTCATGGAATTGGGCTTCATTTGCCAGAAAAACCCGTTTGCCTTCTTCCTGGCTTTATGGTTGGACATAGAGGTGTCTGTCTTTGTCGACATGGACTAACTACCCCTGATGTGTACACCTAGGGCAGCCTTGGCCTTGTCCCAGACTTACACAATTTGAACTGGGCCATTAGCTTTTGCTCAGGAGGGGGAAAAAAAATCATTTCTATGCCTAAACTCTCAGAAAGGAAATTGGCTTGTTTGACGCACTTTCTTGTTTGCTTGATTTTAAGTAAAACAATCTCTAAGAGATCTGACATACCTGTCAGCTGCCCCAGTGTTGTGAAACAGGTATTGGTTGCTGGCTTGGGTGAAACTCCCACACAGCCTAAATCTCCCGTTAGAGCCCCCCAATAGCCACTAAAATACAGCGTGGAAGTTTACTGTTGAACCTGTGCCACAGTGTGCATTTCTAGGCAGCTTAAAGCAACAGCAGCAGAAGGCTAGGTCTGTAGCACATTGAAATTGAGGCACACACATGGCCCCTGCCCGTCCTCCACCTCAAGTCGGCTCAGATGCCAGATAACCTGCTCGGCTGGTCAGGGGTCAGGCCGTACGGAGAACAGGAGAGGTCCTGGCCTCACTTTGGGCTAGGGCAGTGAGCACGGGCTGCACAGCCATTCCGAAGAAGCTTAACCCGTGTCTCCCTTCTCTTTCCTCCCCAATGGCTGCTTCCTGCCCCGCCTCTCTGGCTCCAGGATCTGCGCAAGCAGGTAGCACCACTGCTGAAGAGCTTCCAGGGCGAGGTAAGCCTACCAGTTTCTGTACTCTTCCCAACCCCCTCCATGGGTCACCTGGACCAGTGGTGGTGCAGCACATTTGAACCCAGGTCTGGCTGCACCAAACCTGCGTCCCACACTTTGCACTTGCCAGTGAGGTCTCTGCCTCAGCCCCAGGGCCCTGGGGAAAGATGCCTGCCTAGAAAGAGAGTCGTGTTAGAATGTCAGGCTGTGCTATGGACACAGAGGGAATGCATCCCTCAGGCTGCCACCATCATGAGGACACCACTGGGGGATGGGTGACAGGGGTCGTGTTGTGGGGGAGGGGAGGGAGAATATCAGGATCCCATGTGACTCCGAGCAAGAGCTTCAGGAGGATATTGGGACCCACCATAAGGGAATGGTTTTCTTTGGATCTTTCCAGAAGAGAGCTGAACAGGCTGGCAGAGAGATGAGGTGCCCATCCTGGTTCCCCATATAATTGGAGAGCCTACATCCCTCAGGGGAGCAGGGCTACAGGTAGCTGGTACTAAAGCCCCCTCCCAGTGCTTTGTGAAGAAATTCCATGAATTTCAGAAACCCAGGTGCTGTATCATTAGAGGTTATCACTGTTGCCTCCAGCCACTCCTGTTGGAACAGCACCAGGCAGAAGAGCAAAAGGAAGGAGTCTGAATATGGAAGCCACGTTGGCCCATCCTTAGGAATTTTATGTTCTCACAGGTACCCAAACCAAAGAGGACACAGGGACAGGGGAACAGGGCAGGGACAGGGAAAGTGAGCCAGGGCCAAGGGACCCAGTCTGAAGACACAGGTCCGAAGATGCCAGGTTCCCAGGCCAGAGCTCCATAGTGGCTGGGCTGCCCTTTTCCAAGTTTATCACAGAGGGTAGACAAGAATACTGTGGCGGGAGGCCACAGTGGAGGGCCAGGGCGTTGTTTTTAAAGATATGTTTATTTATTTGAAAGCCAGAGTTAAGAGGCTAGGGAATGAGAGGAAGAGATAGAGGTTCCATCTGCTGGTTCACTCCCCCAACCCCTATGGCCTGAGCCATTAGCAGGGAGCTGGATTGGAAGTGAAATGGTTGGGACAAACTGGGACCCATGTGATATGCTCATGTTGCAGGTTGTGGTTTTACCTACTGTGCCGCAACACCGGCCCCAAAGGTCTGGAATACTCTAAGATCATTGTAGAAAGAGGAAGGCAGCAATGGTTGGAGATGAGGGCCGAGGCTTCTAGAAGGCAAAGCCGTCTCATCTCTGCTAAAATATCCCACCTCCACGGGGCCCATGTGCTCCACCCAGGAGGAAACAGGCAGACATCCACCCCCATCCCAGATCCCGCTGTGCTGGTGTGGCCTTGTCTTTTTGCTTCCTGTGTACACCTGTGTACGTTGGCCTATTCCTTCATCTGTTTGGCAGCTTTTGAGGGACCTCTAGGCACAGGGGTCCTCCCGCTGCCAGTGCTCAGGGTGTCTGTGGATATCTGCCTGTTTGCCTTCCTCCCTGCAGAGATTCAAAGTTACATGAAAATAGAACAGCACCTGCACCCATGCTCGCCCTGTAGGAATGCGTGGAGCTTGCACAGGTTGCTTCTTTGAATTCCCCTAAAGAAAAAGAATACCCACCTAAAGCAGGTGTTTCTCAGTCAGCCAGGAGCGCACCTTGGACTTGAGCATGCCCACAGGAGCCTGCAGTGGCGGAGGCTTGTGTTGTACTGGGAACAATGACCTGCCCTGGGGCCAGGGAGGCAGGGAGCTCTCCCGCTGCCCAAAGCTCAGCTCCTTCACTCCCCTCAGTCTCCATGAGCCTCTGCCTGGGCCTTTATCACTGTCACTCCAACCCAGCCAGCTCTGGCCTTGTCTGCCTCTAAGCCTCTGCCCACTGAGTCCCATCCCCTCCACTGTAGCAGGCCAACTTCCTCTTGGCTTCTCTCTCCAAGAAGGTTCCATCTCCTCGCTAAATACCTCCACCCACCTTAGCGTCTGTTACCGCCTCTGAGAGCCACTTGGGGAGTGAGCCATCAAATGGAGGATCTATCTCTCCTCTTCTCTGTATATCTGCCTTCCAACAAAAATAAATAAATCTTTAAAAAAAGAAAAAGAACAACAGAAGGGAGTGAAGTTCCAGACTGCAACCCTGTTCTAGGGTTGTCCTGGGAGAAGCAAGAGCTGGTGGGGGAAGCAGACCATGGGGAACAGTGGTCCTCCTGGAGGAGCAGCATGGCAGGGCAGGGTGTCTCAGAAGTCCTAGAGGCTCTCCTCAGGCAGGTGTTGCTTCCCCAGGAGCCACCGTGTGTCAGCCTCTGCTAGCTTCTGGATTGTTCCCCCTCGGCATCCCTACTAGCTTGAGTAGGTTGTATTCTGAGACATAGACCGAAGTGGGGGAAGTGTTAGCCAAGCCTCTCTGGTGCTGCCCTAACCCTGGTTTGGTTCCCATCACTCCGGAGCCCTGCAGCCACCATCTCCCCTTCCGCCAAAAGCTTTACCTTGAGACATTTTCTCTCTTGGTGTCTGTGGTTTCCTTTTCTTCTCTATCTATTGGGGTTTTTTTTCTCTCTCCACGGACAATTTTTTAAGCAATAATTGATATGTAAGTTTTGTGTATTTGGTATATATGATATGACATTTGATACTTGTATACATTATGAAATGATTCCCAGTCAGGCCAGCTGAGGGTCTATCACCTCCTGCGGTTACCGTGTGTGTGTGTGTGTGTGTGTGTGTGTGTGTGTGTGTGTGTGTGTGTGTGTGTGGTGAGAACCCTTAAGAGGCATTCTCAGTGAATTTCATGTTGTCATCACTGTCGTTATTAGCTGAGTCGTCATGCTGGGCCTTGGGTCCACAGGATTACCCTCCTGGGAACTTTTCCAGAATCCGCAGTTACATGACGTTGGAGCTGTTTGCCTTTCTGTGTGCGCTGCGCTCATCCATGCTGTCACGTGTGGCAGGGTCACCCCCTTGTTGAAGGTTAAGTAATACTCCGCTGTGTGCACACACCATGTCTCCTTTGCCTAGGGGTTGTCATTGGGTGTGGAGGTCATTTGTGAACCTCAGCTGTTGTGAGTAATGTTGTGATGAATGTGGGAGTGTAGACAGCCTGTAACAGTTCTGACGTCACATCCATGGGATGTGTACCAAGAAGTGGCTGGGTCACATGGGTGACTTGCTTTGTCATTTTTGCAGAACCTCCACACTGTTCTCCACCATGGCTTATTTACCTCGCCATCAGTGGAGCAGGAAGGTTGGAGTCAGTTCCTTTTCCCCACATCCTCACCAACATTTGTCTTCTTCTTTTTTTTTTTTTTTAAGATTTATTTATTTCTTACTGGAAAGGCAGATTTACATAGAGAAACTACAGAAAGATCTTTCATCCACTGGCTCACTCCCCAAGTGGCTGCAATGGCCACAGCCAAACCAATCCAAAACCAGGAGCTAGGAGCTTCTTCCAGATCTCCCATGTGCATGCAGGTTCCCAAGGCTTTGGGCCTTCCTCTACTGCTTTCCCATGGCACAAGCAGGGAGCGGGATGGAAGTGGAGCAGATGGGACATGAGCCAGTGCCAATGTGGGATCCTGGTGCTTAGAGGTAGAGGATTAGCTCTCATTGTCTTATTTGGCCTTTCTCTGATAGTTACTGACATTGAGCACTGCTGTGGTTGGTTTGGTTGACTATTGTTGTTTTAAAGAACTGATTGTGTTTCTTTGAAAGACACAGAAGAGAGTGAAAGCCATCAACTGGTTCATTTGCCCAAAAGGCCACCACATTTGGGTCTGGGCCAGGCTGAAGCCAGGAACCTGGAACTCCATCTCCATCTCCAATGTGGGTGGTAGGAGGTAGGAACCCAGGCACTTGGGCCATCCTCTGCTGGTGCCCCAGGTGCATTAGTGGGAAGCTGGATCATAAGTGGAGCAACCTGGGCTTGAACTGGTGCTCATATGGGATGCTGGTGTTGCACATGCTGGTTTCACCTGTTGTGCCCATTAACAACCAGCTCCTGAGCAGCATTCCCATGTACCCATTGGCTGTATGTACGGCTCCCTTTGAGAAACATCTAGATAAAGTGCTTTTCATTGAATTTTGTTTATTTGAAAGATAAAGACAAATAGGAAGAGACAGAGATCTGCTGGGCCACTTCCCAAATGTCTGTAGTGGCTAGGGCTGGGCCAGGCTGCAGCGGGGAGCCGGGACTCCATCCAGGTCTCCTGCGTGGATGCAGGGACCCAACTGCTTGGGCTTTTGCCTGCTTCCCCCCAGAGGGCACATTAGCAGGAAGTAGGTTTGGGAGCCAATTTCAGGTGTCCCAAGGGACATCTTCAGTATTGTGCCAAACGCCCTCTTGGCTCAGTTTTGGGGTTGTTTGAGTTGTTGACCCTCACCTTCCTTGGGCCCTGCCACCCTACCAGATTCCCCTGAGCCCCCAAGGCCCATGTATTGTCTTGGGTTTCAGGCTCAATGTCTTTGCTCCCAGTGAGCTGCTAAGAGGTCACCTTAGCAGGATCTCCCCTTCCCTTATCACTTGCCCACCATGCTTGAGAACTTGCTGGGTTCTGTGCCACAGACTCCACATTCTGTTCTCAGAGATCCACCCACCACAAGGCTGCTCCCTGCCAAGGGCCATGAGAGCCGCCTTGGGGTTTGGTAGCCACATCCCTAGAAGGGGACCGGGGAGTGAACCGGGCACCCTGGGGATTGGCTGGAACACATGGGGAGGCTTCCCAGGTCCTGCATGACCTGCCCTCCTGACCCCCGCTCCAGCCCAGCCACCCTCCAGCCCCCTTGTGCTGGCCTTGTCTGTGGTGGTCTCAGTGGTGATGGGAGTGGTGTGCTTTCAGGATCTTCCAGTGAAACCCCAAGGCCTTCAGGGCTGCAGTGCCTTCCTGTAGGTTCGCCCCATGATGGCTCAATTAGGGGAGCAGTAGGACTGTGGTTCAATATTCAGGCCAGCGTTGTAATTGGAAACACATTGGCCGCTGCGAAGCTGCAGCTGGTTTGGTTCTGCTCATGCAGAAAAGGATATAACCTTGCATAA